TCTCTCTCTCTCTCTCTCTCTCTCTCTCTCTCTCTCTCTCTCTCTCTCTCTCTCTGTGATTTGTGTGCTCCATATCTCCAAAGCACGATGTTACGCACACACACAGCCCTGTGCGTGTTGACAGAACTCAACAACCCCTCTGTTTTCTGGCAAGCTCCCCCATTTGCAGGCATCATAGGACCACCAGAGAGGGAGAATTGGAGTAGGGATAGCAACTCACCTGTGCCGTAACCGTTGGACCCCTGCGGGCTTCTCCCAAGCTCTAATGAAGGGCAGAATCGCGATCACAGGTAAGCCACACTAAAGAGCCTCCCGCCGAAACTCCTCGTCAAACGTCCCCGTAGGCATGCACACAGTGATTTACGGAAAAACTACATAGGGCGCAGCCACGGTTTGAGTTTGAAAATGCACTCCAGACACGATTTCGCGAATGTTATGCCAAATCGCGGAAAATGGTGAATGTATACAACCTATCTTTAGGGTCCGGTGGGGATGTGTTGTATTCGAGGGATATCGGAAGTAGATTTTACCGATGCGGCTCCAGCTCCGCCCTCACGCACGTTGCTGTGCTGCTATCGGGCCCTCCACTCGATTTTATTTATTTATTTATTTATTTATTTATTTATTTATTTATTTATTTATTTATTTATTTATTTATTTATTTTTTCAGTTCTATACTCTTCTCTCAACTTCTGTTTCTTTTACCTTCCACTACCTACTCCTAAGACTATCTAGAGGGGACTAAGGGGCAAGGGGCAACATGAAATCTCCAGTCGAAATTTGTGCTGCTAACGGCTTCAGTGTTTCACCGCCCACGTGCACATAGGACGCTAACGTCGTCCGTCAGGACAGGACGCCAAGAGGCCACATAGGACCTCGCTGCACTACTCTCCAATTGAGCAGAGACTGCTGTGTTCATAGGGGGAGGGGACCGGAGGGGAGGCACAGTGACTGGCCCATCGAAGAAGCTCGGTCCTGATGCTACCGGCTGACCCCTGGCTGGTATCGCCCACCTGCTGTAGCAGGTATCGCACCTGCTGTGGGTGCAGCTCCCGCATGTTCCCTCGTTGGAGGCTTGAGCACGGATGTGGCTGCTACGGGGCTCCCCGTAATACTATAATGACAATAAAAAAGGCCCGAAAGGCCGTCCTGTCCAGATTTGACAGGTAATTGAATTGGTTGGGCTTAAAGAATTAGCCTTTAAAAAAAAAAAAAAAAAAGTGCAAAATCAGACTCCATCCTCTGCTAGAACATGGAAACATACATTGCCATATTTTTTGTCTTTTGTGCATCTGGAGATCTGTTGAGCGAGGCCCATAGTCTACCTAAGATGAAGGTCGTCCTTCTTTCAAGAAAGGAAAAGATTGCGTTATACCCCTCAAAGTTCATATATGTGCCAAAATGCCCCTAAAAGATGTGGGTTATACCCCTCACAGTTGATATATACGCCAAAATGCTCCTAAGCGCTGTGGGTGGAGCGGAATGCCCTTTTGGCCTGAGCTCTTTGTGATATACCCCTGCAATCTGCACCTCTCTGTTGGGGCCTGGGCCTGCACCCTGTTTTACCCGGTTTGCCCTTGCAGAATAACCAGGCCCTACGCCTGGCAATCTAGGACCCTGAATCCAAATTTTCCAAATGAGTGCACGTCGATGGAGGTTGGCCACCTCATGCTGGGTTCGCCCTCGTCTCCGTCCTGGTTCCTCCATCTCAGACCTCCTCCTCCTGTGCCATTCCCCCAAGGTCTCCTCCGTCTGTGTGTATGTGTGTGTGTGTGTGCGCACGTGAGAGAGAGAGAGAGAGAGAGAGAGAGAGAGAGAGAGAGAGAGAGACAGAGAGAGCAATGATTGGGACATGGGGCCTGGCTCCACTACTCCCCAAATGTGCAAACTGAGAATGAATCTTCCATGAGAATGTGGGAAGCTACACCACCATTCTTTTTGTGTTTTGTAGACAAAAATATGGCAGTGTATCTTCCCATGTTCTAGCGGGAGATTCATTCTCATTTTGCATGTCATTTACATATCGCGATCCAATAGGAGATTCATTCTCAGATTCATTCTCATTTTGCATGCCTATCAGAATAGAAAGCCGAATCTGACCATCTATCTTCTATGTTCTAGTGGAGGATTCATTCTCATTTTGTGTGCCGCTCGCCTGTTGGTGGACGGCATGCAAAATGAGAACGAGTCTTCGGCTACAACATGGGAAGCTACACTGCCATATCTTGTGTCAAGTTGTGTGTTTGGTAGATAAAAAAAATATGGTGGTGTATCTTTCCATGTTCTAGTCTCTCTCTCTCTCTCTCTCTCTCTCTCTCTCTCTCTCTCTCTCTCTCTCTCTCTCTCTCTCNTCTCTCTCTCTCTCTCTCTCTCTCTCTCTCTCTCTCTCTCTCTCTCTCTCTCTCTCTGTGTGTGTGTGTGTGTGTGTGTGTGTGTGTGTGTGTCTCTGTGCGGAAGTATGTGCATGTGACGATCTATCTTCTGAGGGGCGACTTTTTGCGCGATTGAACCTCGGGGTGGTCGGATGGGCCTAGGGGCTAATTCAGCCTAATTGCATGAATGCCCATATTCATTTTCTTCTTTTGTTTTGCGAGAACTTGGTTCCCCAGCTGCTGGTGATCAGGACGCGCCTTAGCGAGCACAAGAACAACGGTTGACGCAACTTTTTCTTTTTCTTTTGGGAAATTCGGGGAGACAGTTTTGGTGCGATCATGGCGGGGGAAATCCTTTTGAATGTTTGTAACTCTTTAGAGAGAATGCGGAGAACCGCGTGGGTATTCAGAATTTCTTTTTGGCAATTAGAACTTTAATTAGACTAGGATTTTGGGAATACCGTATTTTTCGGTTGTAACTGCACGATGCTCTTTACTCGGTCGCGCCTTGCTGCGCTATGTCTTGCACTTCGTTCCCGCCGCGCTTTAATTCTAATCGCAACTGTAATTTTCTCTCGTTCCTCTCTTAGCAAGTGCAGGTGTAACTGTAATTTTCTCCCTCTTGACTCTTCACGCTGAAACATGCGCCCCCTTTTCCCTTCGTCTCATTGGCCAGAGCGGTGCATGACTGGATCGATGTGTGGAGAGTGGCTACGTCCCCATGCCGCGGCCTAGGCATGTCAACCATAGGCACCTCCTTCCTTTCTCCCTCCCCTCGCCTTAGCATAATCCCGACTATTTCGCGCAAATGCTAATTGATATAAAATTTCACAAGCGAAACTAAGACGCTCTCTTATCGAACTTATGGAGTTAGCACGGCCAAGAGGATCAGCTAACGAGTGTAGGCATGCATGACGGTGAGTTCGGGGCTGGGTGATGTGACGAGCTAGTGGTGAGTGTGCGTTTTGACGTGTGGCCGCAACGAATTGTGGGGCACAAGCGAACCCGGTGTGTGTACTCGGGCTAAGCAAGATGACAACTTTGGGTTGTTGGTAGGTGCGAGGCAGCGGATTGCCTACATCGGAGTAAGGAAGAGGATGGTGAAGTGGTGAGAGTGCGCGGGGCGCTGGGGTGTGTGGGGACTTCTCTCCTTGCCTTCTAAGAATTTTGGTTTCGGCTTCCGCCATCTTTGCTCTTGTAATTCCTCCCTTCTTCGAAGTTCTCTTGTATTTCTTTCTTTTTATGGATAATGTCATGAGTGATGATTTCGGTTTGATCATCCAAATTTGCATGCATAATACTCGTTTATGTCTGGAGATCGAATGATTGGGGAACGTGTGTGGACGCCTAGCCTTAACCCATGGGAATTGAAGGGAAATAGAGAAGTTGGCCGCCTCGAGTTGCGTTGTGAACGGACCTTGGGCCACGTGTATACGTTACAACCGGCCAATAAACTGGCCCGTCACATGTATGCGAGGCACCCATGCCCGGGCTGCATTATTGGTATACTTCTACATGGGTAGGAACATGATTGCATTAAGGTGAACTTGTAGCATGGAATTCGGTGTCATTTTTCGAGTAACAGATCGTGATTGTTTAAAGGACCGCAAGTAACTGGAATATCGGGGAAGTGAATATTTCCCTCATCAATTGCGATGGAGGCTCCTCGACTTCCCGTGTCAAGTGGGAGATGAGCATGCATGCGGGGGAGGGATCTACAGCAAGCCATAGGCCGCAACCCCCAGGTCAGGGAATACCCCAAAATTTCAGGTTTTTTGTTGAGTCCGGGTTCGTCGTCATAGAAACTGAGTTCCTTCCCCACTATCTTATTCTCCCCTATCACCATTTAACTGCTATCCCTTGGGGTGCATTAGCCTCCCCTCACCCCCCTCTCCCTCCTACTGATCGATAAAGCAACATGTGGCTGAGACCATCCACGTCAAACTCGAAGATCTATGAATCACATAGGCGCCATGTGTTTGAGCAGCGAAATACTCACTGTGTTCCTTCCGCACACCGCATACGAACATGCCCTAGGCGCCTAACCCGGTCGTCCTTAGTACCCGACCTTGGAAGTCGCGAGCTGAGGAAGCCTTCTTTCCGTCTGAACCTCTTTACATTTTGGTCCTTGGAACCTTGACAGAGGAGATCCCAGTTCCAACTTGGGACTCCACCCCACTTTCCTAAAATCCTTGGCACACCTTTTTTTTCGCAACTTCCGGACCCGCTCCCACTCTAATCAGGAAGTCGTGCTGGCGTGAGGTTTGGGCGTCACATGCATAGTAATCCTCTCTTCCTCCTTTGTAAACTATTACTTAATCCTCTCTCTCTCTCTCTCTCTCTCTCTCTCTCTCTCTCTCTCTCTCTCTCTCTCTCTCTCTCTCTCTCTCTCTCTCCC